GCTAGGATTACAGGCGTGAGCCACCGCGCCCGGCCTATGTTTGATTTTTGTGAGAAACTGCCATTCTCTTTTCTATAATAGTAGTACCATTTTGTATTTCTAACAGCAGTGTATAAGTTGTCAAATTTCTCAGCATCCTTACCAGCATTTGGTGTTGATGCTATTTTTTATTTTAGCCATTCTGACAGGTGGGTAGCACCATCTCAATGTGGTTTAATTTGCATTTTCCTAATGGCTAACGATGTTGAGCATCTTTTCATGCACTTATTTGCCATCTGTAGATCTATTTTGTTCATGTTTTTGCCCACTTTCTACTTGGATTGTTTGTGCTTTTACTGTTGATTTTTGAGAGTTCTTTGTATATTCTAGATACAAATTCTTTGTCAGATATGTGGTTTGCAAATATTTTCTCTTAATCTATAGTTAGTTGTCCTCTTTACAGGGTCTTTCAGAGGAAGTTTTAAATTTTGTCGTGGTCAATTTTATCGGATTTTTCTTTTTATGGATTGTACTTTGGTGTCAAGACTGAGAACTCTTTGCCTACTCTTTGTCCTTGACCTGTTGCCCCAAAGATTTTTGCCTATGCTTTATCCGAAAGTTGTTTTCCTCTAGCATTATTGAAGTCTAATTGACAAATAAAAATTGTATATTTAAGGTATACAATTTGATGTTTTGTAAAGTCTTATGATTTTATGCTTTATATCTAAGTCTATGATTTTCATTTTGAGTTAATATTTGTATAGAGTGTGAAGTTTACATTGAGGTTCAATTTTTTTTTTTTGCACCATGGATGCCCAGTTGCTCCAGCATCATTTGTTAAAAATTCCTCCATTGAATTGCTTTGGCACCTTTGTCAAAAATGAGTTGGACGTATTTTTGTGGGTTTATTTCTGCATTCTCTATTCTGTTCTATTGATCTTCTTGTCTGTTCCTTTGCTGTTACACACTCTCTTGATTACAGGCTTCATAGTAAGCCTTAACATTAGATAGAGTGAGTCCTCTCATGTTATGCTTCGTTTTAAAAATTTTAGCTATTTTAGCTGTACTAGATCCTCTGCCTTTCTATGTAAATTTTAGAATAAGCTTGTGTATGTCTACAAACACCTTCCTGGGGTTTTGATAGGGATTACGTTAAACATAGATCAATTTATGGAGAATTGACATCTTTACTATGTTGAATCTTCCAATTCTTGAGCATAGTATATCTTTCCATTTATTTAGGTCATCTCTGATTTCTTTCATCATCATTTTGTAATTTTCAGGATACAAATCTGTACATGTTTTGTTAGATTTATACCTAAAAATTTTCTTTTCTTCTTTTTTTTTTTTTGAGACAGAGTCTCACTCTGTTGCCCAGGCTAGAGTGCCATGGCATCAGCCTAGCTCACAGCAACATCAAATTCCTGAGCTTAAGCAATCCTTCTGCCTCAGCCTCCCGAGTAGCTGGGACTACAGGCATGTGCCACCATGCCCGGCTAATTCTTTCTATATATTTTTAGCTGTCCAAGTAATTTTTTTTTTTTTTTTTTTTAGTAGCGACAGGGTCTCACTCTTGCTCAGGCTGGTCTCGAACTCCTGAGCTCAAATGATCCACCCGCCTCGGCCTCCCAGAGTGCTAGGATTACAGGCGTGAACCACCACGCCCGGCTAAAAATTTTATTTTCTTTGGAGCAATTGTAAATGGTCTCAGTTCTCTCTGAATTAGAAAATTATTTTTGAACTTTTATTTTTGAATTTCAAATCTTATTTTTGTTGTAAAATTATTTTCACAAGGGGTTATGAATGCTTTATTCACACCAAGGAATGACTTGGTTTTAGAATTTTACTCTCAAGTTTTAGGAGTATTGGGTTTATCAGCTTTATGCCTCAAGTTGGGTTGGTAGATCTAAGCTGCTTCATTTTTGCTGTAAGTGAAATTATATTGGAATCAAAATTTAATATACTATTATGAACCTACTTCTCTGAAATCAGTAATCTCACTTCAGCTGTTGTACCATACTGGCTCTCTTCTGAATGAGGTAGCCTCTGCAACCCACCTGAGGGTCATTACTCTCTACTTTTTAGCTTACCTTTTTATATTTCCAAAAGCCTCTGGTTTTTAAACCATTATGTGT